CTGGACTGGCCGTGTTCCTGTTCCCGGGCTCGGTGAGGAAGAGCGGACCTTGCCGCACCGGACAGCGGTTGGGGGCTCCCGCCCAACCCACTTAAACCCCCGCAGCGGGCGAGCCATGGCAGCGTGGGCAATGGGGCTGCAGACCCGTGCCGTGGCAGAGCACAGGGAGAGCCGCGATCAGAGGCACCGGCCCGGCGGCTCAGCGCCTCATCGTTAGTGAGGACCACGATCCGCTTATTGGATCCACCTTGCCCTGCCTCCCGGCAGCGCGGTGAGCCCTGGGTTAGGTGGCGATGGAGCTATCGAGGCAGAGCGATGCAGGTGATAGATTTGTTGCTCCTGCTTTGAGTTTAGGGGAAAGCAGGAGTATGCACGCCCGCAGCCTCGGAAACCCTGTCCGGAGGCAACGAGGCTGAATAACGGCGCAGCCAAGGAGCAAGTGCTCCTGCCGGCTGGCGCTTGTCGCGGTTCTTCGCAGTCCTCTCCTCGCCTTGGTCTCATCGCCGCCTAGCTCACCTCGGCTGGGGTTGTTCCCTAAAATCCGTTGCGTCTCTCTCCATGCAAACACCCCTTTTCTCTCTCTCCGTGCCCGGCTTTCTGCTCAGCCTTCGCCAGTCCGAAAGTACCCGAAGTGACCTGACACGCTCTCAGCTGAGCGAAGTGCCAATGCCCATATCGCTGTGTGGACCCATAAGTCCGTTCCTCTAGAAATTTGGACACCCCCTCCTCCCTCACACACACACACACACACACACACCCCTTCTGAAACCTTCCCCACCCGTGGCCTAGGGATCTAAAATCAAGATGTATCGAGTTTGCATTTCGCCATGATCATCTCTCCCCAACACCAGTTGGACGCGGTCACTACGTTTGTATGTAGAACTGATATGCGATAGAGAGAGAAGTTATGTAGGTACAGAAACGGAGTCGTTGTCTGCAATGAAGACCCTCTTCGGTTTCCTTTCTTGCGATCTTCGGCAGTTGGTTTGCTCTCATTGTGTGCTCCAGAGAAGATGATTTCGTAGAGGAAACGTCCAACCATCGATGTCCTCTTCCATGGAGAAGATTGCACTGAAGATTGCACATCCACCCATCCATGCATCCACGTAGCCATCCATCTCTCCACCCCCCCCCCCCCC